TGCATTGGAGAAGAAGGCTGAACCAAGGCCTCCGAAACATTTCTTTTCGCGTGGTCGCTCTGTTTTCCACAAGGTACCCTTCCTGGAATCGCCTACCCTTTCTGCGACATTGGGCGAGTTTCAACCTACAGGTGATGAAACGAACATCCTGCTTAGACACAGAGTTCGTCAGGTTCGAAGAATTGCGACCTATGTGGCACAGATGCGGGCTATGTCGCGCCATGAGAACGGCTCCCGGCCTTACTGCAATGCTGACCAAGCCCGAAGACAGACATGGAGAGCAATACTTGCGTCCTCAGGTTTCCCTGGTTGCTTCCAGAAGTGGTGGATGGATGTACATTATCAAGAGTTCCCTTTGGGTTTCCCTTCAGCGGCTGTAGCCAAAGTTATGCTTGATGTTCTTAAGAACGACGAGATTCATTGGAGTCCGTTGGCTAGGAATTCTCGTGCTCAGTGCACTAGAAAGGTCTTCCATGATGATTGGAAAAAATGGTGGCCACAAGCACTTTAGTGCCATCAAGCCGCCGGGAATGCCCAGAGTTGACTCGCTGGATATCCCTTCCTCTTTACAAATCCAGCTGTGCAGAGCCCGTGGGAAAAGATCTTTCGTTTGCATTCCAGTCCACGATGATTTGCAATGCATTCATGTGGGATGCAGATGGACTCAGGGAACGTCTTCGGCTGTTGTGTCCAAGATTGTTTCGGGCAAAATCCACCTTGCTGATGTTGTGGGGACTTTTACATCAGGTTATATACAACAGCACAGGCCTTCGGCCATCCCGCAGGAGATCACAGAGGTTGCCGGTCAATACTGGAAATCCTTTTGGAATACCAAGCGATGCTCTGATGCAGATGATGTGGAAGTGATGGAGGCTATTGATTTTCTTCCCCAGTTACCGGTGTTGGATTGCAATGTGGATCAACAGGATTTGCAATGGGCCCTTTCCAAACTTTCTACCAAAAAGGCTCGTGGAATGGATGGTTTCTCCAACTATGAGTTGAAAGCATTACCACTTGCGCTCCACCCACACCTCCTCGATCTACTCAATCTTTTCACGAAAACAGGTGTTTGGCCACAGGCTTTGCTGAGGGCGAGAATGGCATTGCTTCACAAAACAACAGAGATTGGAGACATTACAACGACGAGACCAATCACTGTTCTGGCTTCAGTATATCGCTTATGGGCAAAGATTATGACGCGGAAACTGCTCAGACATGTGACACCGCACTTACCCAAAACCTTATTTGGTTCAGTGCCGGGAAGATGCTCTGGTGATATGGTGGGTGCAGTCCAAAGTCGATTGGAAAAATCTTTACTGACGGGACAACCTATGTATGGAGTCAGTCTGGATTTCTCTAAAGCCTATAACACTTTACTGCGCGAATTGTTGGAGAAGATCAACCACCGCTTAGGATTGGGTGCTTTGTGGAAGCCATACTCTTCTTTCCTCTCTGATTTGCAAAGGCATTTCAAGTGTGGTGACCACTGGGGCAGTGCACAACTATCTATGGTTGGTGTACCAGAAGGATGCCCTATCGCGGTCGGCCAGATGATACTCTTGACGTGGGTTTTTACATTGGCAATGCAGCGAAAGACATCGACGACCCTTTTTTCTTATGTTGATGATTGGGTGATGCTCAACGGTGACGCCCATTTGTTGGCAGAAGCTATTATGCAATTGGACAAACTTGCGCAGAAATTTGGCCTTCTTTTGTCTTTGCCAAAGTCTGGGGTTTTTGCCACGGATCAGAAACTGGCTAGGAAGCTGCAGGCCTTATTGGGTGGACAAGGCTTTCGGCTAGGGCTGGTGAAGAACTTTGAAGGCTTGGGTATCAACTTCCAGACTGCCAAACAGCTTTCAGCCCACATTCGGGACGAGAGATGGACGAAGTCAAAGGTTTTACTGAACCGCCTGCAGTATATGCCATGGTCCGAGAAGATCAAAACACAGATTGTCACACGTGGGATCATGCCGTTGGTCTTCTTCGGTGCACAAACTTGGGCAACTGGCAAGGACTTTATTCGTGAAGTAAGGGCCAAGTGCAACCACTCTGTATGGGGCAAGAAGCAGTACCATTTGCACTACCTAACGCCTTTATTTTCGGGAACATGCTATGAACCGGTGCTTTACCTTGCGAAGTATCGTTTCTCTGCATTGCTCCGATTGATGGCAAGGGACTTACCTCTGCTTCAAGAAGTTTGGGACTTGGCAATCCAGAAGAAAGCATTCTTCAAAAGGGCCACGAAGGGTATGGTGTCTCTTTTTCTCAACCAATTACATGACCTGGGATGGGAACTCCAAAGAGATGGGACCTGCATTTCACTGGATGGTTGGGTCTTCAAGATATGGGAGATATCTGCGGCTCAATTTGCTGATATTGTTTCTGCCGATTGGGAAATTTGCGGACCTGCAAGACTTTTCAGTGTTTCGGTCTTCTTACCCTCCCTTGTCGGACCCTCTCTTGGAAGGCTTCATGCGGAAGGTTAGGTTGGGGGGTTTGTTCCCACAAAGAAGGAGATCTCATGTCAACACAGCGGAGGAACAATTCTGTTGCCATTGTGGAGCTGTTGATACACTGGAGCATCGTGTTCATGACTGCCCAGCTACTTTTTCTGTTCGACAACAGAAGAATGGAAGGATATCTGTTCGCAGCCCGACTACATGTTGCTCACTGGTTTGTTCCCGAGACTCAAGGACTGCAACAAATATTTACAAGCTCTTGATGATATTCAGCACCCCCCCGTGTTGGACCCGCCTATACAAGTGGAACGCTTCAATCTGTTTACGGATGGGTCGGCCATTGACAACACCTGTCCGTTTATGAGGCTGTGTGGATGGGCTGTCACATGTGCTCATGATGGGGGACCGCGGAATACAACTCTGTGCGCTGGGCTTTTGCCGGGTAGAAGACAGACTGTTTTTCGGGCAGAATTTCATGCTGTAAATGCGGCTATAGCCTCGGTGCCATCGGCAAATATTTACACGGACAATCAAGCTGTTGCCAAGATTGTGAATCAGTTGCTGGTGTCGGAGTATACGGACGAAGCCTGGATAGCACACCATGATAGAGACCTGATACGCACGTGTTCGAGATTGCTCTCGTCCAAACAGAGAGGGGCCTTTTCAGTCACCTGGGTCAAAGCCCACAGACCTCTCACTTCGGCCTGCAACAACCATGATTTATGGCTTATTCATCACAATGCTGCTGCTGACAGTGCTGCTAACAAACCGTTGCTTTCCATCCCGCCAGAGCTGCTTTCTCTTCGTACGTCGTTGACCGCTACTTTGAAAGCTGACTTACTGCTTAAGACCAAGATTTGTCGCCACCTCCGCTTGATCATGGATGAGTACCCCTGATGCTGTAAAGGATTCCGTTAGTTTTTTGAGCTTTGGCTCTTGCTCCGCCTAATGTGGTGGTATAGTCACGTCGCCTACGACCGGACTTTGCCATGCCAAGTTGTGAACCTAGACGCCTATACAAAACACGACACAAACACACACCCAAAGCCCGAACCCCTACACGCCTAAACGAAACACGACACACACACACACACACAAACACGTGATGCACCTTTTTCTCTCGCACCCCACGAGCTTTGTGCACAAAACTTATGCCTTATGCATAATTACTCCAGCGAGCCATCATCATGGAATCCAGAGTGTCAGTCGGCTGCGAATCTAGACCGCAATCGAACGCAGGAGGCAACACCGGAGGGGCCATCCCTTGGAAAGGGATGACCTGGGTCTCGGGGAACTCTTCTGGATCTGACGCAGGCACCTCTACAGCAGGCTCCGCTACATCCATGTTACAACTTTCCTCGCACTCTGCGTTTTCCAAGACGCCGAGCAGTTCACACAAGTCTTCGTTCAGCCCTTGTTTCAGGGCCCTGATGTGCTCCTCTAGGGCCCTGATGTGATCTTCTCGTGCCTTTCGCTCGGCGAGGAGCTGATCAACATTTGCACGCAGTGCAGTGGTCAGATCTTTTTGCAGCTGCAGCCGATAATTCGTAATCTCCAGTTCCACCTTGAGCTGTTGCTCCAGTGTCCCAGGAGTTGAAAAGGTCGCAGCTTCACGGCTCTCGAGATCTCTGGTGACAGAGTCCCAAGTTTCCTCATCAACTACGAAGCTTCTCTTCATCTTAGGCAGAAGCTGTGAAAGAGGAGTTTGAGCCGAAACCTCGTGTGTCAAAAAGATAACACAAGCAAAAGATTAGCATCTCCATGGAAACTCACTTTTCAGGCCAACATGGTAGGCTGTCGGGGCATCCTCGCAATCGAACACATGAGGCAGCACGCAGTCCGGACAGCCGGCATGCGATCATGGCTGATCGAAGCCGGGTTTCAGTCCATTTGCCAGACGAGCAATGCAGCTGCCATGGTGGCGGGTACTATGCGAAATCATTGACTTTGCATAGTAACCGCCACAATGTGGCTGGAACTTACTACAGCCAGCGGGCCAGCACCTCCTCCTTGACGGAGGCTACTACTCCAAGACAGTGTCGTGGAGTTGTAGCCACCGTCAGGGGGGAGGTGCCATCCGTGGGTAGGAGGTGGCCTCGGCTGTGAGGGTTTCACCCTCCCAGACTGGCACCGGCAAACTACGCAGTCGTTTGTAACAAGGGTGCTCTCAGCATATCCTTGTGTGGTTGTGGCCTCAGACTCAGCAGACACTTATCATCTAGTCTTCAAATTAGGAAAGCAGGACTTTGAGCCGAAACATAGTGGGCCAAAACCTCATCGTTCGCTTAGCTTTTCAATGGACCCCCCTATGGAACCGAACTTTTCCTTCTGATTCATCTGATGCCACGGCAGTGGGTCCCCAACAGTTGAAGAAAGAAGCACCCGGCTTGAAAGGATCATGGCTCTCCGCAAGCCTGCTCGTGAAACCATGTTGCGCTGGCCTGCAACACAATCCAACAGATTGTGTACATGCCGAGCTTTTCCGTTCGTTGCCTCTTCAACGAACGCCCGGGGAGAAAACAATGGACCTCTTGTCCATTAGTCCAGCACGCTGAGGAAGTGGTTCAGAAGTTTACCTGTTCTTTTGGCACCCAGCTCGGGGGCGCGGGCGACCACCTTTGCAAGGCTTGTCGATGCCCATTTGCAGGAGCTCGCCGTCATTACGAACAACTTCAGCATGTGGGCTGGAATGCTTTCGGGGCTGCCATCCTTCTCGACGTCGTACTCCGTGTTGATCATGATGTACACCATCCCTGGCGGCAGGACGATGCCCTGGCCGGCGGACAAGTTTGCAAACCACTCGCAGCGGTCAAGGAACTCTTGCGACGTGAGGGCTTTGAAGTCCCCGAGCTGTGTTTCCTCGCTGGCACGGAAGCCGGCGAAGAAAACGCTTGTCCCCTCGAGATGCACCGTCAGCTCTGGCAGGCTGAAGGCTGTGCTGGTGTCCACACGGCCGCCCATGCACTGGCAGAACATGGGCCTCCACAGGTCCAGCAGCTCTTCATCCCCCGGAAGCGAAAGGCGGTCAGCGACTGCCACCGGCAGGCTCTTGCCGATGAAGCCGAGAACTTGCTTCGCAACTGCCTCTCGTCCGGTCACCGCAGTGGTTACACCTCTGCCATCTGTCTTCATCTTCTCTCCTAACCACTGCTTCTGGGACTGGTAGTAAACCAGATCGTGAACACTCTTGAGCAGGCCTGTGATTTGCTCGGCAGGGATCTGCACTGGGCCCTTGCCCGGAATCTGATCCAGCATATCCTCCTGCAGATTGAACCACACCCCGTTGCTGCCTCGCTGAAACTTCGACCATTTTGGCTTCAACAGCTCCTTTCGCATCCAGCAGACACAGTCCAGCATCTCCGGGCTGATTGCGATGTCAGCTGCGGCTTGCGACGAGGTGCCGTTCGCAGATGTGGCAGCGGCGAGGGCCTTGTTCTTTGCCTTCTTCTTGGCCAGCGAGTCCTTTTTGGCCAAAGCCTTTTTGGCATCGTTGACCAAAGTTCGGAAGGCCTTCATCCTGTCCTTCACCTGGGTTGGTGGGTGAGCAAAAAACAAATGGAACAACAAAACGGTTCGGATACAACTACGACTGCGACCAACACACTACAAACCACATACGTTATCTGAAATCCTAAACCCCAAACCCCTTAAACCTTAAACCTCCAAATCAATCGCAGGCACCGCCTTCAGCTGTGGCCACTCCCCAGGACCCTTCTTGCACGCCTCCGTGGCCTCCTTCAGGTAGTTGAGCAGGTCGTCATCGTCCTCCGTCGTTGCCATCTCCTCCTCCTTGATTTTCCGCTTTGCTGCGAGCTCAGGGATGGATTGAAGAAGTTTGCTCAAGTCCTCTTCGAGTGCATCCATTGTTGACTGGAACTCTTTCTTTGTTCCTTCGTCTTCCTCTGCCATCATTGCCTGAGTCTCTTCTCTCAGGCCGGTGAAGGCTTCCTGCTGCTTGCCGTGTGCGGAGGCAAGCATGGTCTCCTCCCGGGCATGGGCATTCTTGATCTGCAGGAAGAGCACTGCCCGAGCGGGTTTCTTCTTGTCCTTATTCTCAAGCCTTTCCTTGTCGGCTTGTTGCTTCTCCAGCACCGTTTCCATCCACCTTTGATCTCGCAGAGCCTCTTCCTGCTTGAGCTGATTGAGGTCTCGGGCGACATGCAGTCCCGGCACCGAGGCGTTTTCCATGCCTTGGTCGAGCATGGCCTTTTCGGTTGCCAGCCTTTCACCGGCCTTTTTGAGCCTCTGTGCTGTCTGCTCTTGGCAGACAGCCAGCTCGCTCTGGTCTGTGACGTCCATTCGCTGGCGAAGAGTTCCTGCTACGCTGTGCTCCTGTGCGAGCTCGCCCAGCAAGCCACCAAACTCCTTCAGCATCCAGACGCCTCTCAACTGATTGCTCTCGGTGTCATCATCCTGACACCTTTTCAAGAGCTTCGTCCGCCCATCCTCGTAGTTCTTCACGAAGCCCAAGGTCATCTCTCTGGCGACCCAGTCTTTCTCAAGCCACCACCTATCCTGCTCGCTGTTTCTCATGGAAGCCCGCCGAGTGTCTTCGACAACCCCGACGGCGGTGGCAAATGTTCTCTTCTTAGACACACCGCCACCACCACCGTCCTGGCGGTGGGACTTCTTTTCACTCCTGTACCACTCGTACTGCTCCTCCTTCGTCATCTTCCCCAGCTGCTTCTTCAAGTCCGCAGCAGTCTGGCACTTGTTCAGCAGATCCTCGTCGTGAGCATTGAGCTCACCCTCTTTGGCTTTCTTCTGAGCCAAACTCTTCGCCTGATGGGAGCTAGGATTAGGGGATTAGGGGGACCCTTGGGGTACCCGTTAAGGGGGTCTCCCTAATAATACTACCTACCTGAGCGATCCTGAGCGATCTGCTTGTTCAAGATCCGCTCCGTGCCGCCGCACTCCTGGCAAATCCGGAGCAACTCGTTTAATCCCGTTGCATGGGAAGTCGAAACAGTGGTGGGCTCGTTGCATTTGCGGCAAAGGAGTTCGCCGGTCCCATCCATGGCTGGTCTCGCTGACTTGCACAGAAGGGGCCAGGGCACCAGGCCAGAGGGGTCTCGGTCAGGTGCTTCAAGCAGTTGCTATTTCATTGTCAAGCCTAAGCCCTACACTCTAGTTGTCAGAACACACTGCCTGGCGACTGGAGGAAGTGCACCATCATGAAGCATGCCATCCGCCTGTATCGAAAACCTTTTGCACAAAGTGCACTGATCAGCTAAACTGATTAAAGAAACTGAGGCCTGCATTGCACGCACTGATCTAATTAACTAAATTAAGACACCGAATTGACTACAGACTATGGATGAGCTCTCCGGCAGTGACAGCTGTGCTTCTGCACTCTGCCATGAAAAGCTCAAGGCTGCCTAATCGAGATCTATGGCTATGCATCCGCATGACCGACGCACTGCCAACTTGTCAAAATGGCTACTACGGTTCGCCCTGGGACTGGTCGGACTGGTACTACGACTATGGATGAGCTCTCCGGCGGCAGCTGTGGCTGGATGAGCTCTCCGGCAGGCAGGCAGCTGTGGCCCGTCTTGTGGGACTATGGATGAGCCCTCCGGCGGCAGCTGTGGCTGGACTATTAATGGGACTATGGATGAGCTCTCCGGCGACACTCCTGCATCCGCCCACGGCTTGCCTTCTTTGCTATTTGCCTGTCTTTCCCCGGAGACGCCTTCGCTTGGCAGCTGTGGCTGTGGATCTGGGACTATGGATGAGCTCTCCGGTGGCAGCTCCAGTGGCAGCTGCTGCTGCTCTTCTCGGACTATGGATGACTCCGGTGGCAGCTCCAGTGGCAGCTGCTGCTGCTCTTCTCGGACTATGGATGAGCTCTCTGGTGGCAGCTCCAGTGGCAGTTGCTGCTGCTCGGATGAGCTCTCCGGTGGCAGCTCCAGTGGCAGCTGCTGCTGCTTTTCTCGGACTATGGATGAGCTCTCCGGTGGCAGCTGTGGCTCTACGCACATTTCGGTTGGCAGCTGTGGCTGTGGATCTGGGACTACGGAAATTTTGCTTCCTGTGGACCCGACCCATGCTGCCTGTGGCTCTTAGGTCCTCAAATGCCATGTCCCACAACTGCTTTGGACTGGCTGCTGGAGGCGGCCGGCCTTCTGAAGTCACCCCGGCCCGATCTGCCAGCAGAAGCATCGGAGCCAGGAGACATGCCATCACCAACGTGTGCATGCCGTTGCCGGAGGCTCTCTTTGCAACTGCCCTACTGGCAAAAACTGTTGCTGTCTCTGCCGGGTGGCCCATGAGCAAGAACCTCTCCGGGATGGATAGCATTCGGTGCAGCTCTTGTTTATCCCAGGACTGTTGCAGGTCTTCCAGGCTCAATAGAAAAAGAGCCGGGCCGCCAGTCCGGAGGCTGCTGGTCCTGCCCAACTCGAACCGAGGACCGTAAGCATTCGTGGGGTCACGGTCCAGTTCTGCACAGGCCACACGAGGGCGGCCTTGGTCTTCAGACTGGGATGCCATGCCCTTGTACCTCTGCAGGTTCCTTTGCATCCCAACCGACAGCATGCTCGGGTCGGTGGGTGGCAAGCCTTGCTGCAAAAGTAGTGTAACGGGCTTTCCATGGCCAAGCTGGTCCACTGTCACCACTGGCAAAGGGCCATGGAACCCACGAGGCAAGCAGTCCAAACGAAGGCCTCGGATGAAAGTCCGCCGTCTCCGCATGGGCCCCCAATCAACAGAGTCTTCCACACGCAAATCCAAGTAGAACCACGGCAAACAGCACCTGAGGTGGTCTATCACCTGATCACAGTATGGGTGCCCCTTCAAGGTATTGGAGTTCTCCAGCAGAAACCAGAGCAAACAACCTCGGGTGCCCAGCTCGTTGGGCGCATGTTGCGCGCCCAGCCGCGAAACCCGCGTGCAGTTTGGGTTAGCGGCCTTGCGAGACCTAACAAAGGCCTGGTATTGGGCCTCTTGCTCTCGGCTGAGCGCTATTGGGGAGATCCACTGTCCAGTGGAATGTCTTCCCGGCCCTGGGCCTGGTCTCGAGGGGCTTGGCTTCCCTCACGAGCTTCCCTCTTTGGGATGCTTGCCCTTGCCACTCCTAACTCCTCCTTTCCCTTTTCCTCGGCCTCCGGGCCCTCCTTGGCCCTTGCCTTTGCCAGCCTCCGGCCGGCCCTTAGCGCTGGGAGGTCCCATCCCGCGCACGGAAAAACCCTATGCAGGCCTCAGGACCAGCCGCGGCAGCTACACTACCACTACCTGAGGCTCTCCCGGGCTTAGGGGACTGAAGGGGCTGAGTGGAAGTCCTGGGCAGAGTTTCCTGAGGGCTCGCTTTGGCTTCGGGAGGGGACGTGCTTGGGGCGTGTCCCGGTTTCGAGCTTCGAGCCTGAAACAGCTGCCGGAGCTTAGGTTGGGCTTCGGGCTTCGCTTGGGGCTTAGGCTTGACCCTTTTCCTGTCTACTGCTGGGCACGCCTTTGGGTTTGGAGCCAGAGAGGGGGTAGCCGCGGGGAGTGAGGAACTAAGCATACTCGCGGCAATCTGCCCCTTCTTTAAAACGGGTAGGCACACACTGGCTAGACAGGGTCATCGAGGCTTTAGAGTGCCCTGGCCTAAGCTGCGCGCCACACTTTTTGCACATCCACCTGTCGCCGAGGTTGTGCATGTCGTGTGACCCATGCACTTCCAGCTCTGCTGGAATGGGGTTCTCCCTGTGCCGACACTGGTGGGCGGCTATGCGGTTGAACCGCCACAGGGGCATGAGCTGCTTTATGTACAGCCCGCACACCGAGCACGCCGCGGAGGCGATGGCTGTGTGGGGTCAGTGGTCGCAGGCTCGTGCGCCCCCTTGGCGGTGTGCTTCTTCCCCTTCCTGCGTTTGGGCTTCCCCTCCGGGGTCAGGTCCCAAGGTGGCTGCTCTTGAGAGACCAGCAGCAGCACAGTATGGATGCCCTGTGCTGCAGGAACAGCGTCACCTCACGCACGAGGTCATCGATCTCGTCCGGGCACCAATGTCCGCGCTTGGGCCGTGGCCCGGGCCGCCGCTTTCCGGCAGAGGTGGTCGGCCGCGTCGTTTACCTGCTTCCTCCAGAGAGAGGCCAGCTGACCACCAAGGACTTCTGCTGCCGCAACATCCCGAAACAGTCGGTGGTGATGTCTGCGACCCCCGACGTGCGGGCACAAACGCGGGCGATCGCGTAAGCTTCGGCCTGGGGCACCGTGGTGCCCGGCGGCAGGACGCCGCATGCGGACCCGACCTGTTTGAGCCCGTCAGGGGCACGCTGGAAGATGACCACGCTCCAGGCTGCTACGCGGCCGTGAGGGTCGTTGCCGTGGGCGCCCGGACCTCCTCACTCTCCGGGCCCCAAGTGTACCCGAGGAGCTGGGAGGCTTTTGCCGGAAAGAGGCCCGTAAGTCTCCCCGAGCCGTGCCCAGTTGGCCACAAACACTCCTGAGCAATGTGCAGGGGAGTAAGCTCCACCCTGCACAAAGGGCACTGCTCGCCAGGCCGGATCAGCCGGGAACGCATTTGCACCATACGAAGGGCACCGGCGCGGGCGTTGCTGGTCCTGCCCTTGGTTGGCTGGCGCGGGACAGTGTGGTCGATCCCCCGGTCAAGCGCCTCGCAGCCAGTCTGCCTGCTGATGGCCTCGCGCCGCCTTCTGCCAGGACGAGAAGGCACGCCTTGATTGGTTGGTGAGCCAGGGGGTTTAGGGGGTTGAAGGCCACCTGCTGCTCCCCCACTGGCTGGCCGGCCATCGTGGCGGGGCACAAATCCGCCGGGAAGAGCCACCGGTGAGGGGAGGAGGCCTCAACCCTCAATTCCACCAGGTATCCGATCATGGCGCCCACCGGCCCGCATATGACCTTCCACCGGTCCTTCCGCTGGAGCTGCGCCCAGAGGGAGTGCCACGTGCGCTCCAACTGCTCGCGGTCCGGCAACGCGCAAAGGACTTTGCCGAGGGCAGCCCAGTGCTGGCCGATGATGGAGGTGCGCGGATCTTTTGTTGGTGGGCCACCAAGCTCAAGCGCAACCTCCACACTGCCAGTCATCACTGCATGACCTTGGGCGAAACCCCTTGGGATTGGTGTCCCCAGTTTCCCGACGCCATGACACTCATGGAGAAAAGCCGGGACCGGACCCTGAGGGCCGGCAAGCGGAGCGATTGGAGCTTCGCGAAACGCCGGTTGGCCTTCACGCGACGCGCCGCCGACTGGAAGGTAGTACGGCGCCGCCCGGCTGCCGTTTCCATGCCAAGGTCCTTGGTGGTTTGGCGCACCGGGGGGTCGCCCTTCCCCGGTTTTCGGCGGAGTGCGCGTTCCGCCTCCGGCGAGCTGGCCAGGAAATGTGTCTTTGAGGCAGACACCTCATTGCCCTCTGCCTCCAACGCGTCGTGGAGACGACGAAAGAGGGTAACGATCCCGGCGGCGGCGCGCTCCGGGGTTTTGTGAACGACATCGGCCGAGACGTCGTCCACCCAGCACCCTACGTAGTCCGCCAGGGTGCCTGTGCACGCCGCCCTGATGGGCTTTCCTATCGATAGCTTCGATAGGAGAGGAGCTAGCGGACAACCCGCTACTATTCCTCTCGCTGCGTAAACGCATGGTGATGCGACAGAGTCGGCAGTCACGATGCGACCGCCACGATAGGCTTGCATCCCTAAGTTGAGAAGAAGAGGCGGAAAGCCCCATTGGGCTGCTTCTTCGCACAACTTTTCGTGGCTCACGCGTTCATAAAAGGTGCTTCCTTTTCCTTTTGATCTTCCTCTACCACCTTTTCCTTTTCCGTATCCTCTGCCCTTTCCTTTGTCCTTTCCTTTTCCATAAGGGCTTCCTTTTCCTCCTTTGTCACCTTTTCCTTTTCCATCTCCTTTACCTTTCCTCATGTGCAATCTATCGAGTTCCATCGGGATTGGTCCTTGGTAAGTCTTGTTGCTTGAGTGTGATGTTGGGTCTGGAACACTCAACGATCCTAAGATGTTTTCAGCTGACCATGTCTGATTGCTTCTTTCATATTGTAGCAGCTTCGCTCTTAACTCTTCGTACGTGGTCTTATCAGTGATATCAACCATCACATGCTGCTTGAGGTGCTGCGGTATTCCTTTCAGCAGTGTACCGATCTTCAAGTTTTCATCATACTTCTGGCCTGAGAGCTTTTCGTACTCTGCTGTGAGCTTTTCGTATGTCAGGACGTAGTCCATCAACGATGCTCCTTTGCTCATGGCTGGGAATCCAACCAATGCCTGAGCCATTGCTAGACTCCTTGAACGAGATGTCGGCTCTAATTCAGCCGTCAACTTTCTCCACACTTCAAATCCATTCATCCCGCTCACACTTCTCAGCACTTTCAGAGGTCTGTTTCTCAAGTAACTGCTTCACACTGAGTAAAGCTTCGTTCCTCTGTTCACTCTTCCTTGATCATTGTTGAAGAATGCATTTGTCACCTCCATTCCTATCACAGCCTTTTGTTCTTCTGCCGATTTCAGGTCCTTCAGGAATTCTTGGTCCATGAACGCTAAGAAGTTCTTGAACGTAAATGACCAGTCACTCCATTGTGACACTTCTTCTTCAATCGTAGCTGGATTAAACGATTCCGGTGGCTTGAGGATCTTACCTCCAGTATCAAAACTTACTGAGGCTGGCTGGCCTCCCGTAGGGGCTGCCTTCGGTGATGCTTGGGCTTTCGCCAGTGCATCCATTGCTGTTGTCAATTGCGCTTGTTGCATTGCTGTTCCTTGCGCAACTCTTGCCATAGCTTCTGTAGCTTGGCCTAGTGTAGTCATCAGCTGTTCCAACCTCACCTGCTGGGGGTTCGGCTGGTGCTGTGGCCGTTGAGCTTGTTGTTGCTCTTGCATCTTTTCAACACTTTGGCAGGTCCTTGTATATCTGGCCCAAGGTCTTCACTTCCACGCTTTCTCCGACTTTGCAAGGTGCTTTTGGCTTAGCCGTAACTCCTCGCTGTTCTCCGACAGGATGCTCTTGGTAAACCGTAACTTCCTGTTCCACACTTTTCACCTTTTCCAGCTCGTGGCTGGCCTCCCTGGATCTTTGCTTGATCAGCTGCTGGCCTTTGCCAACAGCTCCGCTACCATGAAAGTTTAAACCCTTAAACCAGTATCCTTGTTACAGCACGGCGCGAGCTTCGGATTCTTTTCTCACTACTCGCTCTGCTGTCAGGCTGTCTTGAGCCTACGTTTGACCTACGGAGATACGCAGTGAAACTGGCGGTAAATTGGGCATGAGGGAAAATTGAACATTCTGTTAATGCTACATCGTGCGGTGACATGTAATGTAGCATGCAGTCGAAAACATTTCCAAACAAACGTGAGCAAGCACACATACCGTTCGGAGAATGATGTATTCGCAGCTGCTCAAGCATTTATATGTAACATATAAATGTATGGAATATTTGTTGCCAATCTTTCAAATATAAAATCACATGGAATTGACGCGGTCAAAGCGAACTCTCTCTCTTTTCCACTGCCGGAGAAATGCAGATCCGTCCACAGTGAAGCATGATATGAAACATGCAAAGCAAAGCTGGATCTGCATGTCTTTCCCCAAGTTAAAACCCTGGCAGTGGAAATGGAGCCGCGCATCAATTCCCCAAATGCACACCGTGCGGCTACATGCTACCACCTGGCGTGCTATCAGCACAAGCGATGGATAACATGACTAGACCTAGACCGTAGCCCCCATAGGGGATGTCTCCGGGAGAGCA